GTTCCGGATTGAACTGTCCTAGTGATGGTCCATTACATGCATTTCATTTCATGCAGCTGAATGCCCGCTCACACTCACTAGTGGAGACAGCGATGGTTCGGACTGCTTTCAGTAGAGGCTCCATGGCAGCAGGTGTACGGGATGCCCTGGTTTCCTTGTATTCGCGAAAGCCCTGAACAGTCTCTCTTCTGTCCACTTTCAGCACTTCGCACAAACGTAGCACCTCTACGTCCCCATACTGTACGTCTAACTCCTCTTCAGGCCAACTTCCAGGATGGATAACTTTCATGTCCTGGATTAGCTGATTGTCCCGGGCCTCCCGGCCATGTAATGGGATTTCTCTTGTGCTGACATGAGAGGAGGTTGTGGAAGTCATTCTGTGTCTCAGATTCTCTACCATACTGCGGAAAAACTGACCTGCATGAATCTGTACAAGCCTGCCATTCTCACGCAGGGCAACACCCTTGAAGGACTTCTCAGCTAGAGCTGTATGAACTGTAGTCATGTGTGGGCCAGGCATGGTGACCATGGATTCAAAAACTCGTATTTCTCGAGTTAAGAGCCTATCTGCTGTAGGCAGTGTCATCTCTCTTTTTTGGAGTTGCCGAGAGAGGTCGCTGAGCTCTGTGAGCGCATCGTACATCAGTCCCAGATTGCTGACAAACGTTGCAGATGTGAGCACATCATCCAGGCCCTTGTACTTTGCTCTGTCTCTGGAATCCCTGCTCGTGTCGTTTGCAGCATTTGTGAAGTGATCATGAAGCACTCGGTAGTTTTCCCAGACTGCTCTGACGCTCCTTTCACTTGAAGCCACCCAGCGGATGGACAAAACACGCCCTATCACCAGGAGACGCTGTCCGACTGCTTGCGCACACTGCGCTAACTGCCTCTGATTTTTGGGGGAGGCATGGAACAAGGAATAGAGTTTGTCAAAAAAGATCTGGAAATGATTGAGCCCTGAGACCTCCTTGACCACATCCCCAACTGCCAGCTCTAGACGATGATTGGAATAGTGCCACACAAACAGGCTTGGGAATTTACTACACAACTGGGTAGCAACGCCTGTTCTCTTCCCTAGCATGACTGAAGCCCCATCACATGCAAAAGAAACGAAACACTGACCTAAAAAGTCCTCGTTAAAATCTCTTCCAAGACACTCCATTAACGCCTTTGTGATGTCATCAGCCGTTGTTCCATCCAACTCGATCAGCTCCCAAAAAAACGTTTCGGGCTCAGCATCAGCTAATGCTGAGCGTAGACACACAACAAGCACCGTTTTACCACTAATAGTGGTAGATTCATCGACCAAAACACAGAGTTTTCTTTGGTTTTCTGTAATGTCTTTTGCCATTTTTTTCTTCAGCTCATGAGCTATGTGGTCGATGATTTCGCCACAGGTTTTATTGGAGTGCAAAACCCTGCCCACGTTCAGCCCATTCAGTTTCTGTACATTCAAATCAATTGGCATGTCTGTGAATGGCCGGCTATGTTTGCCAATTTTATATGCCGTTCGAAAAACTCTGATAGTGGTGTCTAATTCAGATTTATGCATAGACTGCACTTGATGTTGAATAGTTTCACGTGAAGCAGATGTAAGGATGTCAGCAGCTTTTACATGGGCTTGTGATTCTTTATGTTCTTTGATTTTTTTTCTCAGGCTAGCTTGTTGTTTGCCCTTGTCAACACCGAAATGAGACACTGCACACTCACCCCATTCAGTTGACAGTTTCAGTCCTTGTCCAGTGTGTATTCCCAAAGATTTGACATCTCTGCATATCCGACATCCTAGCTTCTTATCTTTAAGAAGGAGCCATGCATTGGTCTTGCAAAAATATTGCACCTGGTCCGTTGTCCAGCAGTCAGGTGCATCGCTTTGCCCGGTGTTGGTGGTGGCAGTTGCGCCAGCAGCAGCTAACTTTAGAGGCTCTGGAGGAGGCGGCGGAGCTAGTGCTAATGCTAATGCACTAGAACTTGGAGCAGGAGGATCAACCAAAGAAAGCTCCCCATCAGACACAATTTCCAACACAGGCACAGCATTCTCTGTATTTGAAGTTTCTTCCTGCGACAACCGCTGTCTTTTTGCACTTTTATTAATCCACGCTAACATTTTAGAAATGCTAATTTGTGACGTGACTTGCTTTCCTTCTCTCGGGGGCGTGCCTGCTCTGTTCTATCACTCTACATAGCCACCCACTGGGTGGGAGTTGCACTGCATAAACACAACACACGTGCATCTAGGTATGTAAATTGTAAAGCATTAAAACATGGTTTTACTAACAGTTTTCAGTATGTTGTTACTTCGGCATTATTATTATTATTATTTTGAAACGTGTATTACTATTAAATCACGGTCAAATAGGTTAATTTTGACATAGTCGTTTCCACCACAGTATTTACATGGAGAAGATAAGCCCCGCCCCCTCTCCAGCACGTTCTGTTTGAATGACAGGAGTAAACAGCTGACAGCCGCTGTGAAACTCCAGCGGTTAGAGCGATGAGAATGTCCGTTCGGCACCTCATGACTCATCTACTGAGTACCGGGCGGCTGTATATATATATATGGATGTATAATAAGAACGGCGGGAGAGTGTTGAGTACTGGCACGGTGCATGAGTACCGGAGTACCGCCAGCATGCCGGTACTGAGCAAGAAGTGCCGGTACTCCATGGGTCAGAACCAGAAGTGCCGGTACTGCGTACCGGTGAGTACCGGCCCAATTCCAGCACTGCATATAATGGTTAACTTCTGTTGGCTGCCGCAACAGAGGTGATCGAAACAGGGGGCCAAAGTCATTTTACAGGCTGCCGGCGGTTATAACACACCAGGGTGAAGCAACACATGAACTTTCAAAGCGTAGACGGGAAAAATGGCTCAATAGGATCGGACGGGAGGATCTCAAACCATCCAACCACAACTATACTCGCGTTTGTGGGGATCATTTCATGTCAGGTCAGGTCAGGTTTTACATACAAACATTCAAAATCAACATACAACCCACGTACTAGGACATGTATCTTAACAAGGAAATAGGAATCCTGGAGTCTGTGTCATCGATCGACATATCAGATTGTGGAGTATCTACAAAGTAAAGTCATCCCTTGGCTCAGGTCATCTTCACACCAGTCTGTCAATCCCCTGCAGTGCTTCGTTTAACTGTAATTTAAAGTAATTCCTCCCCCTACTGGCCATTTGATTATATGTAAACAGTGAAGGTTGTACATTCCCTGGCACCTTTTCAGAGGCTTTTTGTTTCCTCAATTATTTGTCATGTTCCAATGTCTTGACACCAGCATTTTAAATATATCTAAAGTCTGACTTTGCCTGTCAAAAGAGGTCACATTTGTATTAATTAACAGTTCACCTAGGATATAACTGACCTACACTCTGATTTATTTGCAGGTAAACCAGTGGCAGTTTTTGACAAAAATCATCCTGACTGGGCACCGTCTGTCAAATTGGGGGGCCACAAGAGAATTAAAGCACCTTCCCCTGCTACACATGCCAGGTATAAACGCGCCAGAAAAAGGTCATCCATCGCGCTACTTGATCTCTACAGCATGGTATCTGATATACCATTTCCAGAAGAGCCCGCACCAGTCCTGGGAGCCACTGGGGAAGAAGAAGGAGTGATTGAACCAGAGACTGGCACTGCAACTCAGACTGATTTGACTGGTAAAATGATTGACAAAATGTCATTTGAAATTAATAATGCAACAACAGAAAATGTTAACTTAAAAGAAAAGCTTGTAAAGTCCACAATTTCAGAGTACATTTAAGGGCGATGATGACCGTGTGCGATTCTGCACGGGACTTCCTACTTTTGCCATTCTAATGATGGTGTACAATCTTGTGGAACTGCACATCAGTGTGAACGCTAAGAGTTCACTGTCTAAATTTCAACAATTTATACTGACACTAATGAAATTAAGATTAAACCAACCCCTGCAAGAGTTGTCTTATAAATACAACACATCCACATCTACAGTATCCCGTGTGTTTACCTTAATTATCGACGTCATGTTCAAACGTATGAGTTTCCTTTTGAAGTGGCCATCTCGGGAGGAACTCCAACTGACAATGCCTATGGATTTCCGCACTCATTTTGGTACTAAAGTGGCTGTTATAATAGACTGCTTTGAAGTTTTCATTGACGGCCATCAAATGTAATGGCACGGGCTCAGACTTGGTCAAACTACAAACATCACAACACCATAACATTTCTGATAGGAATCTGTCCGCAGGGTGTTATATCATTCATTTCAAGGGCATGGGGTGGCAGGTCCAGTGATAAGCATATTACAGAAAATGATGGCTTCTTAGATAACATTTTGCCTGGTGATTTGATTTTGGCAGACCGAGGTTTCAATATAAGTGACTCAGTGGGTTTCATGTGTGCTGAGGTTAAGGTGCCTGCATTCATCAAAGGCCGGAAACAATTATCAATGAAAGATGTTATTGACACAAGGAAAATTGCTAACGTGCGAATTCATGTTGAGCGTGTCACAGGATGTGTAAGGCAGCGATATACCATTTTGGGAGGACCAATTCCTATAGATTTTTTTACTTTCTAAAGATGTAGATGGGATTACATTGATGGATAAAATAGCTGAAGTGTGCTGCGACCTGAATCATTTGTGTGACACTGTAATACCCGTTGATTGAGCCTTTATATTGTTACATCCCAATCAACCCATATCAGATTTAAAAATATTACATGTTTGTATTGTAATTATTATTACATTATTGTCAATGTTGTACTTGGTCAATTAAATGTCTTGATAATCAGAAAAGTGATTTGGGGGTTGGTTGTGTAGGGGAATGTTTGAAAAATTATTTAAGCTGTTTTCAGGCATGGAAGATTAATGTTTTTCTCTCAGGTTTTCTATTGTCAGATTGGACACATCCCAAATTGCTTGAATGTGGTTTCAGACCTGCACTGCGCACTGGAATAGTACTGGTAGAATATTTAAGCTTGGGTAAATACATTTTGAAAAAAACAATTGAAAGGGCAAAGTATTATATTTATTACAGGTTTCCAATGTACCCAGTGAAAAAGGGTGAAAAACAAGTACATGCTCCTTTAACTGTAAGCTGCAGAGATCACCTCACATAACAGAGATAGATTAACATTGTGTCCATATTACAGTTTTTTTCAATGCTATAACACATTTTTTGAAAGCAGGGCTTATTTTCACAAAACACTAAACACAATTCACAAAACCATACACACAAAGTGCAAAACACCTGATATATACTGCAGAATGAAGCACTGCACCATAAACACTTACCAAAACCAAACTTTTGCACCAAATGGCACACACTTCATTCATAGCACAAGACATTTTGTAAAACCAACTACACACCATCGTGCTCAAGCACACTCATCTTTTATGGCGTTTGATATAGAGAATTCTGCAAATAAAGATTGTTCAAGTCTCCAAAATATGTGCAGAAACACAAATATACTGTTGTTATACTTTTACTTTTCTAAAAGTGGAAAGTTGAATTGCAAATTGGGTGCAGAGCTGAACATGTGTTTAGAGTTTTGGATATTTGAGCTGAGGTTTTGCTCTTTGAGTGTCAGTTTAAATAATGATGCTTTTTGTGTCATTTCAGTGTGCACAACCTTTTTTGATTGTTACACTTACATGTTCTTTATATAGATGTGATGTAAAAGAAACATGTTCAATCAAATACATATATACACTGTCATTCAGATTGATTAATACTTCTGTTTCTTTTGAGAGGGGACATGCTGATGACATTTGTCACAATACCAGCTTCCTTTGAGGGCAACTGTTATACCAACACATTCAAAATGAAATCAGGTAGTTTCACAATTTGTGTTATCACATCCTATCATGGGAAGCTTTTCCTCTCCACGACAAAGGCACCACTTGGGTATCAGTGGTTGGGTATCGGTTGGCTGAGTCAGAGTGGCACATAGAGCAGGGTCTGGTATCAGGCAGAGAGGCCTTTTTGGTGCAGTAATGGAGACTGGTGTAGTTACACTGGAAATTCTGGTGAAGAATTGCCCACTCAACTCGAGGAGAATGACCTTCTGAAAGAATTAATGAGCTTTGGGATATACCTTCTCCCAAAAGTCAATATCTGGGGTTATGCGTTCAAGATGAATCTTTCCATTCACCCACAGAACAAAGTCAGCATATTCAACATCACATAGAAATAACTGGGTCTGCACTTGATAGAAATAGACATGGGTCTTCTTCAGCCTGTCCTGTCCATCACGTGATTCCAGACATGTATGGTCTGACAGTGCAGCAACACAATAGGGGCATTTCATTTCCAAAACAACTACACCACAGCACTTGCAGGACACAACACCATCTGGAGTAGCACCTAAATATGGAAATGTTGGAGATAACACGAGCCCAGAGTCCTGGCAAATGAAACCGTCATGTTGATTCATAATTCTAATGTAATCTTCACGTGCTGATTTCTCGTGATTACATCCCTATTCAGTAGCTGCAGTTTTAAATTGTGTAGCTTCTGGGTAACAAATAGCTTTAATCAAGCTAAGCGATGGTTTAGTTGCACTTGTTGAACATGCTGCCTTCATACGAGATGCTGTAATCCGCCCAGCTCTGTATCGATACCAGAGTTTGGATTTGGCCTGTGTTTTTGTGGCCTTCTCAATGACATCCGCCTCCTGCTTGGTGATAGCTACATTGATCCCTTGGCAATGTTCTGTAAGGGCTTTATGGTCCATTTCTAGGCAGTTCTCACTTTTTAAACTAGAAAGCGGCTTAGGAAATGTTACTTTTGGGACAAAATTGGCATTGTGTGGAGCTGAGATTGTCAATATTGCACACTTCCTTCCAGTAGATTTCAGTGATGCCAGGAAAGACTGTTGCTCAGCATCTGTCGCTTTTGGAATCTCCCTCGAGTGACGTAAAAGTGGTGTTGTTGTTGTTGTTAAATTAGCTGCATCACCAAGGCTGTCAATTGCTTGGCTTAAACGATTCCTTCGGGTTTTAGCCGAAGTAAAGTCAATGTCAGCAACAGGGGAAGGTGTTACATCCTTCACTGATCCAGGTAGAAGCCAATACGCCTTTTCCTGGGTAACTGTCTTGGCATCACGTATCCGTATAGATGTTTCTATGTAGAAAAGGAGAGATGCAACATGGGTACATGTTGATCCCAAACCAGTCTTGCAGTTGCAGTTAGCTGTGATGACTGCACCATCCTTCTTCATCAGTACCCACGGACATGTTGGCGGCGTCCCAATACTCTGAGAATGCAATACCTGAAAAATAAAATACAAAAATATTATTGGATTGTTGACTATTTAGAACCACCAATATTTTGGTCCAACTTTACTTTCAAATACTGATTGTTTACACAACCAGTGGGTGGTCAGTTATTGTCATATGTAGCCCATAACAGAAGCTGACAACCAAGAATAGGTTCACAACTTTTGTAATATAAATATATTGCAATATATAATAAAGCTTTATTTATAAAGCCCTTTTCATAAAGCACATGTAGCTCAAAGTGCTTTACAAAATGGCACACATCACAAGTTAAAAATAAACCACAAGAAATTCCCCTCAGATCAGATGTTAAGACCTTTACAGGTACATGCAGCATAGCAACAACATATAACATTTTAACAGGTTAAGAGACACGAGGAGGTAAAAGGTATGATAATACAAATAAATAATAAGACACAAGACTACGTTTATTGATGCAACAATATCCCTATAAAATAACATATAGGTACAACAAAAATAAAAGCTGGTGTTTAAAAATGTCCACTGAGTTGGCCTCTGATATTTCTTGGTAGCGTAGTGGATAAAAGCAGCCTCACCCATTTTATTTTGGGGGACTTTAGGGATATTTAAAAAGCCAGCTGAAGAGGACCTCACGAAATATTTACTCACTTTTCCAGCTATTACAGCCACATCTCCTTGATATGCAACGCAAACGTCGCGGATCCACCCGGATGTGACCTGGTTATGTGCCTCGAGTCCTTTGTACGCCTTCATTTCCTCCATGGTGTACAATGGAATAGGCAAACAAAACAGGTAGTTCACGATATCACAGTAGGAAAGTGAAGGCCATGAATTTATATCGGTGCTGTAATCCTTAACGGGAATCAAATAAGGGTCCACCGAACCAATCAACGCAAATTTTTCTCTGTAAACGGTCTTATCCTCCGGGTTTAGTGATTCGTAGTAGCCTTTAATTTTCGCCATTTTTGAACGCTCCCGCTGCCGCCAGTAGAGTGGTACTCCAAGATGTCTGACGCGAAATCCCGTGACGTCATTAGGAAGCCTCTATAATAGGTCTTCACTCCTGTGTTCCAGTGGATCCGTATTTTTCTGAGATTGCCTTTTCCTTCAGCATTTTTTTAATGCTTGAATATGCACGTCGCTTCTGGACCACGGCTGTAGGATAGTCGTGGTCGAAAAATATTTGTTTGCCCCCTGCATGTATCTTTTTCTGCCAAGCCTTCTTTAAAACCATCTCTTTTATTTAGAACTGGAGGAAATTCACTACGATTGATCTGGGAGTAGAGCTTTCGCTCGGTTTTCGGGCAAGTGCTCTATGAGCGCGCTGGATCTGGAGCCGAGTTTCTTCGGATATTTCGAGTTCGGTTTTCAGAAGTGACTCCATGTATTTGGCTGTGGCCCCGGTGAGATGATAGTGAACTGTTCATGAACTTGTCATGAAAAGTTCATGGAATATTAGTGAACCATATTCATGAACAGCTCATAAACAGCTCATAAACAGCTCATAACAAAGTTGATTAACTGTTCATGAAAGTTCCATGAACATTAAATGGCACTAGGGCAGTTCATGAACTACTCATGAAACTCCTGTTCTGGAATGGTTCATGAACAATTCATGGAATATGGTTTTAGGCAGGTTCATGAACAATTCATGAAATGGAGTTTTCAGTGAGTGTAGGGATATTCAGTATTCAACCAAGAACATTTCAAGAATTGTTCATGAATTAACCATGGTTCATGAACATATCAAGAACTGTTCATAACAACTTCATGAACAGTTCATACCCAGTCACTGAATATAATTCAATGGCTGGATATGAACTGTTCATGAACTGTTCATGTACATGAACCATTGACTGTGGGTCAATTGGCAACCATAGAAAACAACAATTATGTCAATCACAATGGAACTTTATTCAAATTAACAAACATACATGTATACAGGTGGAGCACTACAATTAATCCTATCACTATTTGAAGCACAGTTCTTGACACTCAGCTGCACACATTTTTTTGTTACGGGTCCCAAAAGCTTGGGTACCACAGCAACAATAAATGATTTCTGTAGAAAACAGAAAAGTGCAGCAGCAATAATTATACACAGGATCCGGTTGATCGTCTGGATTGCTTCTTATTCAAAATTCAAAGTACAGAGTTACATTCAAATAGCTGTACTTTACAAACATCACATTTCTCCATTTAAGTTATCCGTCTGTCACAGTCCATTACTGTATCTCAAGGAGAAATTCAACATAGTCAATATAAACACATAACGCTATCAAATAATACTTTCTATCAATATATCTATCTTTACCAAATATAACATATTATGGAGATCACAAAAATACACTGTCAATGTTAATAAACAAAAAACAAGGCAATGTGCCTGCAAGACTACACTCAGGTAAACAAAACATATTACCCGTGCGCAGCAGCTAACCTGCCTGCGAGCCTTCGCTCAGGTCACATTTACCCAGGCGCGGCTGAAGCCTGCGAAAATGGCATCTATTATTGCCGACAGTTTAGTATTTTTAAAATACCGTTACTATGTCAAACATGCTCAAAACTTTCTGACACACTCTCCTAAACATCTCCAACATCATATCTAATTCACACAAGTTAACATCGATCATTTTCATCATGTACTGACCTGTAGAAAACAGAAAAGTGCAGCAGCAATAATTATACACAGGATCCGGTTGATCGTCTGGATTGCTTCTGACTGGAGGGGCGGAAGTGTCCCCCCTAAAATAACCCAGATGTCACCGCTCACCTGCCAAAGGTTCCACCTTGGCGCTACTTACTCGTACTGCTTCTCAAACAGTACAGATAAACCATAAAATGATATGAATGTCACCAAAATAAATACAGATAATGTTCAGTTTCAAATGCACTATTTTTTGTTTTAAGATTAAAAGTTTTAAAAAATAAAGAAATGTTCAAATAGTAGATGAATATTCAAGAGGTCTTTAAAATCATCACACTGATCATGAAAAGTTCATAAAATGCTCATGAATATTCAAAAATATTCTGAACTTGCCACAATCATCCAAAATTCATGAAATGCTCATAGTCATGAAAAGTTCATGTAATGCTCATGCAAACTTTTTGGGGTTTTAATTATAATTTTGTGATTGGCTGGATCATGAAAAGTTCATAAATTGCTCATAAAAGTCTGTCATGAGCAAAACAGGAACTTTATATGAATGACCAATGTTCATAAAAATTTCAAGAACTGCTCTTTAAAATGGTTCATGAGCATTTTAAGAATGTTGGTTCATGAACATGACAAGTGAACATATAATGAGTTGTTCATGAATGTTTCATGAGTGCTCATGAACAGCTCATAAAGTCATGAACTCCATCTCGCAGGGGCGAGCTCCCCTCCCGGCACTCGGGTAAGCAAAACACTCGGATGTTGTTTCTCCTCGATCTCCCCTCGAGATCAGTCAATTTTCCTTGCATCAATCGAGTCTGCTCCATCATCACCGACATCACTTCATTGACCTCTGTCTTCCACTCTTCCTCATCTGATATGCGCTCCTGCGCCTCGGCTATGCTCACCCGTTGCGTCTGCAGCTCTTTGTTGTTCTCCGTAATTTACGGTCGAGTTCTTGTCGCAGATAAGTGATGTCCTCCCTCAGCTCCTTCTTTATTTCGTCTTTGAATGTGGATAGTTCTTGTCGTAGTTTGAGTTTAAGGTCTTTAATTTCTTTGCTAATGGCGGCAAAGCCTGCCCGCAGTGCATCTGAACCGTCGTGTTCGCTAGCATGGCGTTCACTAGCCTCGTGCTCGGGGGTTTCATCCATTGTAGGTTGATTTTTCACTTTGCCTGGTCCTTTACGATTTTTACTGTTCCTCCGTGTTTTTACCCCACTCATTCCTTAATTTAAACGTCGAGTTATTTTCATTTAGTGGGATAATTTGCCCGACCTGGGAGAGCCTCTCAATCACACAACCAGTCTTTCCGCCATCTTGTGGAAGTCCGTGGAATCTCAGCTTTAATCGGATATCTTGTTTGTGCAGTTACGATAAGTAATAAGGGCATTTCTACATTTTTTTTTTTCCAAACATTTCTTTCCCACAAATTGAAATGTCCTTAAATGCACATTAACATGAATCCAACATATTGTAGCGAACGGAGAAATGGAGGCAGAAGACGTTATCTTTCAGTCAGTAGGGGTGTAACGGTACACGTACCCGTACCGAAATTATTCGGTACGGGCCCTTCGGTTCGGTACAGGTGTGTACCGAAGTGTACCGAACGAATATAACGTTAAACGTAAAAAATTGAGAACGTGAATAACTTTTTGGAAGTAATCTCAGGTGCTGCGTCGCAGCATTCAGAGTAATTTGCTCATATTGGGTTCAACGCGTCATAGAGCGAGCAAGTCATTTCATTGGATGAGAGGCATACTATGAGAGCTGGTCAGAGGGATGCGTTCAGATGTAGTCAGTAATTTGAGGAACTGTCAAAAATGAATGGTGAACGCAGATAAAGTTTAGCTCGAAAATCCTCCAGCATCATTGAAGTCTCCGGTTTGGGAACATTTTGATTTCGCAGTTACGAACAAGGATGACGGACAAAGACAGGTGGACCGAACCAAAGCTGTTTGTCGGCATTGTTCAACTAACATTGGTTACGCGGCTGGCAATACATCAAACGTGCACACTCTTGAAAAGGCATCACCCGAACGTGAATATCACCGGTACCAAAAGAAAAAAGACTGAAGTGCAAACCCAACTCCCACTAGCATTTAAGCCACCACTCGCAGAAAGTTCAGACCGAGCCAAAGCTATTACAAACACCAAATATCCTTATGTTGCCATGTTAGCAAAGCGCTACCTGGCTGTATCTGCTACCTCTGTCCAGCGAGAGGGTTTTTTCCACATCAGGAGACATTGTTAGTGCCAGCAGATCTGCCCTTTCGGCAAGCAATGTGGACAAGTTCATCTTTCTTTAAAAAAACATGAAAATACAATGACAAGCAAGTCCTAATGTCAAACTGGCTGCTTAGGTGCTAGTACAGTACAGTTCAAATACAGATTATTTCAGTTCATCGAAATGCTGCACCTTAATGTTCATTGTATTATATTTTGTATTTATTTGAGTGAATATTCACAGTTTAATAATAATTAAAAACCCAAAACTAATAGTTTATGTTTTGTGAGTACTAGTACAGTAAAGTTCAAATACAGATTATTTCAGTTCATCGAAATGCTGCACCTTAATGTTTATTTTATTATATTTTATATTTATTTGAGTGAATACATTATTCACAGTTTAATAATAATAATAAAAATATATATATATATATGTTTTGTTTTGTGAAAAAAAATTCTGCTGTAGGCCTACTGAAAACGTACCGAACCGAACCGTGACCAAAAAACCGAGGTACGTACCGAACCGAAATGTTTGTGAACCGTTACACCCCTATCAGTCAGCAATGTACGCATTCAGCTACACACAGTAGCTATCTCAAGCTAGGCGCCAGTTCACTCACAGCAGGAGACTACCCCGGACCTGTGCCACCAGGTCTCCTGTACACAAAGGGGAGGACCGCCCCTATCGCTGCTGTGCCAATCACGAGGCCGCATGACACACGCTGGCTCTGTCAGGTTCCCCGTGATTGGCCGAGAGCCTATTCAGTCCCCAGTTTACTAAGGACCCAGACACAAGGACGCACGCTGCAATATTATTGAGAAGACCATACCTTTTATATATATATAAAAATGGATCGTTTTGTAACTCGACCAAAACAATCCACAAGCACAAGAGAGATACCATCCACCTCAGAAACCACCAGTGAACATGCAAGTGGCGAGGCGGAACCTGCTGCTGATGTAGCAGCTAATAAGGGTAAGCGCAAACGAGAGAAGACCCGAAAATATGCAGATAATTATCTGAAGTTTGGTTTTACCTTTAAGGAGACAGATGGCATTGAATTTCCAATGTGTGTCATTTGCTCTACTGTTCTTTCAAATGAATCCATGAAGCCATCAAAGCTGCAGCGTGAAGTAAAGTGTTACAGCAGAAGGTTTAATACAGCGTATTTCTGGTAGATTCATTTTATTATGTCACCTGATATATAAGAAGTGTGTTTTTATATATTCATGTGTGTACTTAATTACTTTGTATTTAATAGTAGCAGTTTATATGAACAAGAAGCTGGAGATATGAGAAGTGAACACTTTTGTATTTGGAGTAAGATGTGAGCCAAGGGGATGTCCTTATTTTGAGACAGCTCAGATCTCTGGAATACTGCATGATGAAATGAGTGTGCGTGACACATGCTGGTAGAGTTCTACTATTTGGAAAACATGGCTATAATTACTGCTTAAACTGTACCTGTTTTTGTGTTTTATTGATTTCTCTCTGTTTTATTCTTTCATGTGTGGGTACTAAA